CAAGGACATGAATTGAAGGCTCCACATGATTTACTTACATATGATGCAACTATTTTTAATTCTGCATTTACATTTTTTAAAACAAGAATGCACCTTCTTGATGGAACAGACATGCTTTTTAGACTTGCAGATTCAAAAACTGTAAAACAAAGTAGTTTCTTAGAAATCGATTCCAAATATCTTTTTTATATTAGAGAGGAAAAAACTTGAGTACAAAAAGATTTAATGGCCCTAAACTAAGATCAGAGGTCAGATAGTCATAGAACAAAACAAGAAACTAGATGAGTTACCAGTTCAGGGCTCTTGTTTGTCCCAAATTTTAAAATATGGGAGAAGCCTTGGCCAGTGTGGCTCAGTTGGTTGAGCATCATCCCATGTACCAAAAAGGTCTCTGGTCCGATTACTGGTCAGGGCACATAATCAGGTTGTGGGTTCAATCCCCTGTCCAGATGCATCCTGCATTCAGAGGCAACCAATGGAGGTTTCTCTCTCTCTCCAGAGTCAATCTAAAAAACATTTAAATCTATATGGATGAGATTTACATTGACAATTTGTACTGATATGTGTGGCTTCTTAAGACAGTGATACAATAACTTAAAACCTCTAATTTCTATATTAGAGTATTGCAGTATATTTTACTCCCTGTAGCTACCTAACCCATATATTTCTTTTCCTGATTATATGCTTATTTGTAATCTCCTGTGTAAGCTGCCTTACATCCTCATTTGATTGATTTAGTATATAAATAAAGTATTCAAACTGTATTAATTGTATTAATACTAATTATTTATGTTTCCATCATGACTATGGCATGTCAGAAATCCTGGCAATGTTGATTATTCTAACAGTATTTCATCTTTTCCATCTATCAGAAGTAGCAATAGAAACAAAATCCCTGCGTGAAATGTTTAAAGAGATTACCATTCTTTTATTTCTTCATAAAGTAATGGCACTGTGCCACCAAAACCGGTTTGGCTCAGTGGATAGAGCGTCGGCCTGCAGACTGAAAGGTCCCGGGTTTGATTCCGGACAAGGGCATGTACAGTGGTTGCAGGCAGCTGATCGATGATTCTCTCTCATCGATGTTTCTAACTCTCTATTCCTCTCTCTTCCTCTCTGTAAAAAATCAATAAAATATATTAAAAAAAAAAAAAGTAATAGCACTGTGGTCCTCATAATAAAAACCTTGAAATTGTTTTTAGTAAGCCTGAAAATTGACCTCAGAATGTATTTATTATCTTAAAATGAAAGAATGTCCAATAAGGTTGAAATGTTACCTAGGTATATAAAAAAGCATTGTGATTAATGTTCATCCATTTTTTTAAAAAAGGTGCCAAGGCCATTCAAAAAGAAGAATTTTTTAACAAATAGTACTAGGACAGTTGAATGGCCACATGCAAAAGAAGGAATCTGGACATCTACCTCACACCATATACAAATCAACTCAATATGGATCAAAGATCTAAAGCTAAAATTACAAAATTATTAAAAGGAAACATAGATGATAGTCTGTATAATTTTAGATTAGGCAGTAGTTTCTTAGATATGGCACAAAAAGCACAAGCAACAAAAGAAAAAAATAGATAAATTAAACTTTATCAAAATTTAAAACTTTGCATATTAAAGGATACTATCAAAGAAATGAAAAGACAATTTAAACAATGGAAGAAAATATTTACAAATTATATATACACACATGTATATATGTGTGTGTGGTGTGTGTTCAGATATATTACATATATACTATATAGATAATACATAAAACATAATACATATATGTGTGTATATAATATATGTGTACAATATATATGAGTGTAATATATGTGTGTATGTACTATATATAATATATATCGTGTATATATGATAAGTCTGTAGTTTTCAGAATATATAAAGAATTCTTACCATGTATACCAGTTAATACGGATTTTTTCAATAGATGGAATTACATATATATGCGATTTGATATTTATGCTATTTTGTTGTTTTGACAACAAGCTTCAAAACTTTATATGTCAAATTTTGACACATTAAAAGATCTTGCCTGGGAAGTATTAACCCACCCGTTGTATTCACCACAACTTGCTCCTTCAGATTACCACTTGTTCCGATCCATGGCACATGCACTTTCTTGGCAGCACTTCAAAACATACGAAGAAGTAGAAAATTGGGTCTTTGAATGGTTTGCCTCAAAACAAGAAAAGTTCTATTGGGACGGTATCCACAAATTACCTGAAAGATGGGGGAAATTTGTAGCTAGTGAAATTTGTAGCACTTTTTAAAATTTTTCTTTATTGATTAAGGTATCACAAATTTGCCCTCATCCCCCCCATTCCCATAGACAGTGGAAAAATGCTTAACAACTTTAAGGAAATGCAAATCAAAGCTATGGTGAGGTACCATTTAACACCCACTAGGATACATATAATTTTTAAATGGATAATAAAGGTTGGAAAAGATATGAAGAAATTGAAAACTGTTGTACTTTGCTAGTGGAAAAATAAAATGATACAGCTTCTTTGGAAAAAATTTTGACAGTTCCTTGAAAAGTTAAACAGAATTTCCATCTGACCTAGCAGTTCTTCACCTTGATATACATCGAAGAGAACTGAAAATATGTTCACACAAATATGTGTACACAAATAGTAGCTTTATTCAAAATAACCAAAAAAGTGGACATTACCTAAATGCCCATTAATTGAAGAATGACTAAGCAAAATGTGTATATCTGCAGTGGAATATTATTCAAGCATAAAAAACAATAAAGAACTATTACTTGTTAAAGCATGGATAAACCTTGAAAATTTTATGCCATGTGAAAAATGCCGACACAAAGACCATATATTGTAAGATTCCATTTATCTGAACCATTTATATGAAATGTCTAAAATAGTTAAATGGCTAGCATTAGAAAGCTGATCCGGGTTGTCAGGAATAGAGTAAGAGAGGAATTGGAACTTCTAATAGGTACAGTGTTTCTTTATGTGGTGACAAAATGTTCTGGAATTATAATGGCAATGATTGCACAACATAGGGAATACATTAATATATATATACCCACACACACACTGGTGTGTTTTATATTATATGAATTATACCTTAATGTAAAATAGTAAATTAAAAGAATTATACCCAAAGATAAAATGAAAGACATTATGAAAGATTAGAAACTGATATTGTGAAGAATTTTTAATTTTAAAGAAGCTAAAAATTAACAAAGGACCTAAATAGACACTTTTCAAAAGTGGACATACAGAAGGCCAAGAGATGTATGAAAACATGCTCAAAGTCACTAATCTTTCAAGAGATGCAAATCAAAACAACAGTGAGGTACCACTCACAGCTGTCAGAATGGCTGTCATCAACAAATCAACAAATGACAAGTGCTGTCAAGGATGGGGGGAAAAGGAACCCTCCTGCACTGCTAGTGGGAATGCAGACTGGTGCAGCCACTGTGAAAAACAGTGGAGTATAAAGTTTCCTCAAAAAATTAAAAATGAAACTCCCATTTGACCGGTAATTCCACTTCTAGGAATATATCTCAAGAAATCAGAAACCAACCAGAAAGAATATATGCACCCTATGTTGTGCATTTCTGTAAAGTATTAATAGATACTTAACAATAGCTAAGATTTGAAAACAGCCTAAGTACCCATCCAGAGATGAGTGGATTAAAAAACAGTGGTACATCTACACAAAGGAATACTACACTGCTGTAAAAAAGAAAGAACTCTTACTATTTGCAACAGCATGGATGGACCAGGAGAGCATTATGCTAAGCAAAATAAGTCAGTCGGAGAAAAATAAACTTCTCTCACTCAACATAAATTGATGAACAAAAATAGATCCAGAGAAATGGAAGCATTGAACAGACCATCAAACCTCAGAGGGAAGGCCTGGCGGGGGGGGGGGGGGGGGGGGGGTGTGTGTAAGAGATCAACTGAAAAACTTCTATGTACCAATGGACACAGACAGTAGGGGGTGAGGGCATGTGCTGAGTGGTGGGAGAGGCTGGGAAGAGGTCAATGGGGGGAAAAGGAGACATGTAATACTTTAAAAAATAAAGAGTTTAAATTTTAAAAAGAAGCTAAATAATTTGGTACTCCCAATACCTCCTTTAACTGATAGAGAATGTTGTCTACTCTGTGGCTTTCAGCGGGTTAAAAGAAAAGTCCTGTGGTATAGTTTTTACAGCTGGACAGGAGGAATCAGTTATTGGATGGCTCTCTGCTCAGAGCTAAGGAATGTGGTTAGAGATGTTATATACTGAATTGAGATGATAAAACCAAATTACTGTACTTCCACTGAGAAAATCACCTGTAGTTCAGGAACAGCAGGGAGGTTGGAAAACAAATATGGAGTGGGGGCAATACTTGAAGGAATATGATTTTTCTTTTTAAATATACAATCTAACAGCAGCTCTCCCTAGATTTTTGTGCTAAAATAAAAGCATTTTCACACATCTTAATTGCTCTGTGATAACAACAGTGTGAACTTCAACCACAAACATTTATTGTGTATTTAATTTTGCTCTTATTTCAGTGTAGCAAGAAATCACCTTGTAAATGGGAGTAACTGTCCATTTAGTAAAAAGAAATCTCTTCCCATGTTGTTAATTTGTTTGTGCATTTCTATAAAGTATTAATAACACAATGGCCTTTTATATTTCTCCATTTTTAGGTTGCACTTCACTATTTTCAAAGTAATATCTTTATCAACTGGAACCACGTTTGCTTCTTAAACATTAGTAAAGAATATTTTTTTAAATGTAGAAGTTAAGGTTTCACAGTATTTCTTATTAGAATTTAAGATGAGATATTTATGCCTTTATAAACCTTTAAAGTACTTGGTGCTATAATGTTCATAATAAATTATATAGAACTGTCTTTAAAAATGCATTTTTAAAATGAGATTATCTAACTTAATAGCAATAATTGTTCTGGTTATTTTCCAGACCTGTCATTTACTCCATCCTCTATAGGGATGCTACAGGACAGAGAGGAATGGATAAAAACATTGGTGAGCAACTCAATAAAGCTTATGAAGCCTTCCGACAGGCATGTATGGATAGAGATTCTGCAATTAAAGAACTACAGCAAAAGGTATATGGTTTTGGTTTTCAAAGTTATTTATCCTGGTAAATGGAATTTGAGAGTCTTTTGCTACAGAAAAAATATTATATTATTAGAAACTATCCTGAAGAACTATAATTACTGAAATATGGGGCTATATTAATGGATATAATCTGAGATTTTTGTGACCTATGGGAAGAGTTAATTTAAAGGTGATTATATAAAGAAAATATTACAAATGGTCTTTCATAAAATTTTTTTCAATTACTGTTAACATTCAATATTTTATATTAGTTTCATAGTTTTTCCATAAAATGACAAATTGAAAGAAATATCACTGTCTTAGTTTTGTGTTTTGTTTTGTCTTTATATATTGTTTGTTTTATATATTTTTGTTGATTTCAGAGAGCAAAGGAAAGGCAGAGAGAGAAACATCAGTGGCTGCCTCCTGTATCCTCCACACTGGGGATTGAGCCCTCAACCCAAGCATGTGCCCTGACCAGAAATGGAACCATGACCTCATTGGGTCAGTGCTCAACCACTGAGCCATCCTGGCTGGGATGTTTTGTTTTTACATTGTTATTTGGCAAGTAGGAAGACAGTACAAATTTTTAAATATCCTAGATCTGATTTGTTACTAATTTATAATAGTCTTCCATCGTTAACTCTTAACAGAAAAATAGACTATCTCAGTGAAATATTTAAGGTCTTACCAGAAGTTTCAGCTTTGTAAAATTACCTCTATACATAGTGTGATCTTATGATTCCTAAAAGAAGCTGTGAAGGTATAATAGGGCCCAGTCATATTAATATATGTCTAAGTAGTTTGTACTTTATTCTTATTCAGTCAGAATTTACTAAGGATTAATATATGCTTTAGAAAAGTCTAGTATATAGTTATATAAAACACTGTGGCATAGAAGATAGGATAGAAAACAATATGGAATTCAATCAATGCTAAGCAATGTTCTAAGAGTCAGGAATTTAAAAGTAAGTGGCAACCATCAAGTTGAACTTTATGTACTTTTAATATATAATTACATTATACTTCTGTTTTTAAAAGAAAAAAATGAGTGACATCCATTTCAAGCAATCAAAATAAGTAATTAAATTAAGTATTAGGAAATCTAAGAGATCTAAGATTTATGAAGGAGATAGAATGGAAAGCAGGTGACACCTGAATGCAGGCTCATTCTAAGGGTGACAGCCTGGATTCTAGAATGATAACCAAATATCTAGAGTAGAAACTGGGTTAATGATGGTGCTGATAACTGAAACCAAGAATGAGACAAGGTGCAAATTTGGAGATAGAGAAATAAGATGTGTAATTCGATTTTAGTCATTAGGTTTAGTTACCTATGGGGTATGCAGGTGGAGTGTTTAATGGATGTTTGCAAATCCAGATCTAGAGCCTGTGTAGAGTTCTGAATTGAAGATTGCAAATGCAGATTACAGAATAACAGGTTTGCCCTAGCCAGCTTGGCTCAGTGGATAGAGTGTCAACCTGCGGACTGAAGGGCCTCCGGGTTTAGTACTGATCAAGGGCATATGCTGGGTTGCAGGCTTGATCCCCAGTAGGGGGCATGCAGGAGGCAGCCAATCAATGATTCTTTGTCATCATTGAAGATTCTACCTCTCTCCCTCTCTTCCTTCCTCTCCGAAATCAATAAAAATATAAAAAATAAATAAAAATAAAATAAAATAACAGGCTTTATTATAGCCTTGAATGTGGATAACATTTCTTAGAGTGTTTAGGGCGAGGAAATAGTTGAAGGATCAAAAAGTAAGAGGAAGGAAATGAGGCCAACCCATTGGTCAGTAATAGGTTAAGGAATTTACTGTGAACAAGAGGAGAAACATCTATTTCTCTGAGAACTAGAGGGAACAAAAGGGAAAGAAATAGCTGTAAATGAAAATAAGTTTGCAGATAGGAGGGAGTAGTGGCCAGAAATTAGAAGGGTTATCATGTATCACTTATATGTAAAATCTAAAAAAGTCATACTTATAAAAAAAAAAACACAAAAAAACAGTTATATGGTGGTAACCAGGGGATGGCGTGGGGAGGGGGGAATAAGATTGATGGTGTTTAAGGTTACAAACATATGGTAAATAAGGGTACAAACAAGTAATAAATAAGACAGAGATCTAATGAACAATAAAATGAATATAGACAATAACATTTTGCTATAATTATGTAATGTGATAACACTGCAATGTTTATTATAATATATACATGTATCAAAATAACATGCTATTCACCTTAAACTTGCACAGAGTAACACATCAGATTTATCCGTAAATTCATCTGAGCCTTCAGTAAGTCATAATCTTTTCGCTGGTAGAGGATCTTGGCTCAATGTTGATGAAAAGGAAATATCTATGAATCACAATAACTTTGATCAAATTGCTAAAAACACTCAAGCTGCCAAGACTAAATCATGAAAAATAAAAAAAACTAAGAGATTGAAACAGTAATCAAAAAGTTCCCAACAAAGAAAGTCCAGGACCTAGATGCTTCTCTGATGAATTCTACCAAATCTTTAAATAAGAATTAATACCAATCCTTTTCAAATTCTCCAAAAAAAATTGATTAGGATAGAACACTTCCTAACTCATTCTTTGAGCCAGCATTACCCTGATACCAAAGCCAAATAAAAATAGTACAAGAAAAGAGAACTAAACTAATATCCTTTACAGGTGTTGATGTAAAAATCCTCAACAAAATACTAGCAAACCTAATTCAGCAGCATATATTACAAACATTATATACCTTGACCAAATCAGATTTATTCCTGTAATGCAAGGATGGTTAACATACAAAATCAGTCAAGGTAATACCATCTTAACAGAATTTTTGGATGAACAAAATGCTATATATACATACAATCAAATTTTATTCAGCCTTTAAAAGGAAGTAAGTCTGAGACATGGTACAAAATAGATGAACCTTTCAGATATTATTTTAAGTGAAATAAGACTCACAACAAAAGATGATTCTACTTTTCTGAGATACTTAGAGTAATCTAATTTGTAGAGACAGAAAATATGGTAGTTTCTAGAGGCTAGGAGAAGAGAATGGAGAGTCAGTGTTTAACAGGTTCAGAGGGCTGTGAGATCTAGACTCATCTATCTCATTTCCATTTGGAAGGCACATTAAATTGATGTCAGACCTGAACTTACATACCCATTCTTTTTTCTCATTTGTACCATTTCAAAGGAGTGAAGAGTTTTATAAGTTGCCTTTTTATGTATCCTAAATTACCTCACTTAAGTTTTAAAGGATGATCCCTCATACTACTATTGATCATCAAGTATATTTACATTCCCTGACTCCTAAATACTGTTTTTCTCTTTTCTATACCATTAGGCATTAAAAAAAAAAGTAGTACCTATAAAAAGGCATTTTATGCTTTCATGCAATCATTTTAAAACATGTTTTACACTTTTAGAGCTTTATGTTATTTTTTAATGCCTTTTCTTTTACTTAAGATGTAAATTATCTCATTGTTTACCACCCTTTTTTCCTTTCTGTGTTCCCAAAAAACATATTTCTCTGTGTAAAGTATTGGTGGGAACAGAACAGTTCACTCTGTTTTTCCTCCTGAAATTACTGATATTAGAATAAGGGTGCTTCTGGCTGTTTCTAATCAATGCCTTCCTTCTTCTATTGCACTGTTAGTGCTTTGCCATAGACTCATTTGCACCTATCAGAATTTAAAATGTATCCTTTGTTCCAGGTTTTTATTTCCACAAATATGCCCTGTCAAAACTTTTAGACAGTTATGCTAGGTTCAAGAAAATCCATTAATTAGAAAAATTAAAATTCTGATATTTATTCAAAACTATTTTGAGCACCTTACTCAATATAACAGGAACTGCTCTAAGAATTGGGTCTGCAAGGAGAAGCAGACATGTTCCCTGCATTGTGGAATGTTGGCACAGTCTAGCAAAGCAGAGACTAGTCAAACAATCTCTGAAATGTAAAGATTCAAAGTCTGATAAGTATCAGGAAGAAAGGTAAACTGCTATTAGAATGTCTACTTCACCTAATCTAAGAGGTCAGAGAAGATAATCTTTATGAAGTGATTTTTGAAAGGGCTCGGTTCAGGATGGTGGTGCTTTTTAGGTATAAGGACCTATGTTATAAAGACCCTTTGGCCTGAAAGAACTGAAAATATATGGGACATAGTGCAGTGAGAAGAGCCTGCGGCAAGACTATGTAGTTTTAGAGGCTACATTGAGAACTTTTGGTTCTTTATTCTAAGAGCAATAAGAAACCATTTAAGATTTAGGGGTGGAAGGTGGAGTATTATGGTTTGATTTGCATTTTTCAAAGAACACAGTAACTATAATAGTGTGAAGAGAATGTATTGACTGATAGATTTAAGTAGTTTATTAAAGTTGTAATGGCTACATTGAAGTTAAAAAAAGGGATAGATTGGATAAATATTTAAAATTAAAATTGACGCCGAGACCGGTTTGGCTCAGTGGATAGAGCGTCAGCCTGCGGACTGAAAGGTCCCGGGTTCGATTCCAGTCAGGGGCATGTACCTTGGTTGCGCGCACATCCCCAGTAGGGGGTGTGCAAGAGGCAGCTGGTCGATGTTTCTCTCTCATCGACGTTTCTAACTCTCTATCCCTCTCAATTCTTCTCTGTGTAAAATCAATAAAATATATATTTTAAAAATAAATAAATAAAAAATTAAATTAAAATTGACAATAATGGATTGGCTATAGAACAAGTATAGATGTCAAATATAGTTATACTTTCTGTATAGACAGTGGTGCCAGTTACTGAAAGAAGGAATACTAGCAAAGGACCTAATTTTGCAGGCAGCAGGGCATGTTCGGGGCACAGTAAGGTGGTTGGAGGGAGGGTAATCATTAATTTTGAATAAGTAACATTTGAAATGCTTTTCCAGTAGCACTTGGCCGCATAGATCTGGAGGTCAGAGGAGAAGTCTGGACTAGAAGGAGTAATTTGAGTCTTGCATATAACCGGCCACTTGGGATAAGATTGTCTAAGGGGA